ATATATATACCAAAGGTTGGCAAAATCTTACACATTGGTCCAAAGGATTTTAGACCAATTAGTCTATCATTATTTCTTTTAAAAACACTGGAGAGACTAATAGAAATACATATAAAGGGCAAACTAAACCCAGGAAAAATCACAAGGAGTGTGATCACTTTGAAATCTCTGATGTCTCATAGGATTTCGTCGAAGACAGTGAAATAATGCCATGATCTTCTAGCGAATCTGCTATCGAATTTCACGGTAAACCTGCAATGGGTCACAGGACACAGTGACATCCCCGGGAACTGTGTAGCAGATGAACTAGCTAGAACAGGCACCACCCTACAACTAGATCCTGGTAAGGAGGACATATATATGCCTCTGGCTACTTGTAGATACTAAATCGACAAACAGTTAATTAACATAGCCGAGTGTCAGTGGAATCAGTCCCTGACTTGCTCAACTAGCAGGCAAACGTGGCATGAATAGAATATGAGCCACGCATGCCGACTGTTAAAATTCAAGCGGAATGATATAAGAACTCTAGTAGGATTACTAACAGGTCACTGTCTAATAAACAGACATGTAAGTAGACTTGGTACGCCATATAACGACTATTGTAGAAGCTGTCAGGAAGTAGAAGAGGAGGAGACCATTAAACATCTTCTATGCGGTTGCGCAGCACTATATAGGTAAATAATCGTAGCCATCGGTCGTGGGTTTCTTGATGACGTCTCGGAGGTTGCACGGATAAAACTTGTCTCACTGATGAAGTTCATCAGATGTACGAGGTGGTTCAGAGAGGAGCCAATAGAGTGAGGGGACCAGAGTCCCGGTGGTATTAAAATGGGCCAATAGAAGTCATTCATATCGTCAATCAATAGGCAATTGCATAATGCTCTCGCGAAAGAGCAATTAAACAAGCCTCGGGAATTTTCGGCAGAAGGTTATTTTGTCCGATGAAAACAAGTTTTGGGTCTTTGGAAACAAAGGTCGAAAGATTTTATGGCAAAAAACGAGCAAGGCACTCGATAAGGAAATTTTAATGCATACTGAAAAGTACGGTGGTGAAGAAGCAATGATATCGGGGTGCATAGCTAGTAACTAATTTATAGAGTCTACTATGGTTAAATGTGCATACCTTAATATCTTAAAATAAATTAGAAGCAAACAGAGGCAGAATTTGGAAGTGACTCCTATTTTCTACAAGATAACGACCCGAAGCTTACAGCAGACTTAGTTAAGCTTTAGTTACTCTACAACGTTCCCCAGCAGCTTTAAACACCCCCAGAATCACCAGATTTTAATACTGAATAGCGCATATGAGATTCACTGGTGCGTAAATTCCGCCAACGTACAATTACTGGATATGCTCAGGGATATGCTGCACGAAGAATAGGCTCACATTACTTCGACAGAAACCACTTAGTTTGTATATTCCATGTCAAAACCCTTAGCGGAAGTTTTGAAACGTTGGGAATATCGGACTACCTGTTGAATTTTAAGAAGAATTCGTAGGAAGAATAATCTTATTCGACTTATGTACCTTGTACGCAAACTTTTTCTAATAGATTTTCCATTCGTCCGTATGTTTCGTTTGATTTATATGTTACTGTCGGCTATTAATTAAATTGGATTTTATGCAAAGTATAAAAACTTATTTTTTCCAAGAATTTGTTTTTGTTGGTACCTTCTAAGCAGACTTTTACTGCCCAGAGTATGTGCATGTATATTCACATATTTTATTATTGACATCCCAAAGGGTTAGGTTAGGTAAACAGGCTGAGTTTCGTGAGGTCAGTAACTATTCCACTTGGACAGCTAAAGACGCTTGTTCGTTGTGACGCTCAGAACTCCTATATATGGATAAAAAAAACACGGCGAACACACCAAGTTCGATTGAGCGATTTCGCTAATAGTTTTGCGGCTTTGTCCGTTGCTTTTTGCCGAAGAAGACTTCTCCTTCCTGAGACCTCTGTCGATTCAAAACATCTTCTGTTCATCTCTGCAGTTCAGCGCTCACTTAGCCCACTCAAGTATGCTAGCGTGCTATGCAAATTATTGTCCAGCATTCTAGCCACCGCTTTAAACTCTTATCTGCCAAGCGACGATCCGATTTCAGCCTTTTAGCCACCTTAGCATATGCCGAACCCCACAAGATCCTATTACATCTGGAGTTGCAGAGTTAACATTTTTCAGTTCTGTAAAATTTTTACTTAAATATTTCGATGTTATTCAATTTAAATTATATTAATACTTGAATCTATTGTGTGAACTATTTGAGGGCTAAGTATTACTGCTATTAGTGCTATATTGATATTATTGAATTTTACATTAATAATTTTTAATTTTTGTCAGACAATATTTTCTTAAAACATTTTGCAACGTTTCGAACTGTTAACACATTGTTTTTCTTGTATTCATTTCATTTTCCCAACTATATGTTTTCGAGTGAGTTAGTCTATCTAAAACTCCTCGCTGCATTGTTTAAAACACTTGTGATTTTGGATTGAACATTTTTATTTTTTGTTTCCTTATTTTATAGTTCATTTATTACTATGTTTTCTCTAAATACCATTAAATTAAATATTTCCTTTTTCTTTATGTACTTACTTATTTAGGACTGAGCTTACACACGAAGACTTTTGTCATTAACGAAAATTTTTCTGTTGGTGTTTCACACGGCCGACAAGAGACCGCCAACACATTCTCAAATGTTTCGTTCTTTATTTACGCGTTGTACATAAATATTTTCCATCCATATTTATCCGTTTTCAAAATATTTAAAATAAAACGTTTGTTACACAGTCTACAACATTATGCTCAGAATTGCAGGTATATAATTTGGCAAAACGCATCACATCACCATTACCGATACTCACCACAAGAATTTAAACTTCAATCAGGGAAATTTCATCACGCTCACTAGCACGCTAGAATATTACGCCTCGTCGAGTAGAATTAAGTGACACTTGCAATTTGGTTGTTAATAACATAACATCGTTTTTTGTAATAAGAAAAAATAAATCAAATTCAATAATTGTTAGTACATATTGGCATAATACATATGACAGGTCCGCTCCATCGTCTATCTTGACATTGAGACGTCACACTCAAAGTGGCATATTTCAACGAATTCCTGAGTGTGGTGCTGTGTCTTCCGTAATTGAACAATGACTGACCTTTTAATCTATCACAAACACCACTTAATGACTTTTAATTTTAATTCAAACTATTGCATCTTTGTACATTCAAACCCATCATCAAATCTGACGGATTACTCATCGTGAGTACTTGGACATTCGGTTAGTATGCAAGGACTTTAGCGTATAGTGATTACGCTCTCTTTATTTTTCAACAACACATAATGACCAATTTTGTACCTCACAATCGTTGCTTTACCTTTATCGAAACTTGCTTTATAATATGCTGCCATATTTTCCATAGTCTCATATGTCCTATTTCTAACGTCAGCTATGATAACATCGATCTCAGTTTCGCGTGTAGGTATCAACCCTAGAGGACGAGCCCCCTTGCCAGCTCTAGAGGACTTGCGTCATTGGCACGACTAATCGTACAATTTATAGCAAGCTGTACCTCGCCAAGAGCGTCTTCCCAAGATCGGTGGCTTGATACAACTGCAGGCAACAGGTTGACCGTTTGCGCGACACGCACAGGTAGTCATTAGATGAAGCTTTATTTTTTGTGATGAACTGAATTTGGGGCAAGTGAAACATCTACTGTGGTCAGCTATGATACGAGTGGGTACCCCAAACGAGGAAACAGATGACTTAATGGCTTTCACGAAGCTCTCGGTATCTCACTTTTCAGTATGGCACAAGTAACCGAATTTCGTAAAGACGTCCACTTGAACAATCACATACTCTTTGAGGTCACACTTAACTTTGTTATAGTATGCCAAGGTACATTTATTTTAGAAATATGATGGAGCTCTGCCTGAACCTTTCCCGAAGAACCTTTGACAGTTTTGTACGTTATAGAATCGTCAACAAATTTTTGGACATATTATTATAACTTTGAACTTTGCGGAAAAAAACCCCCTTTCGCAACTCGTAGGTTTTTGCCAAATTTCCTGCAAGTTAATCAGAGTTAAATTTGTTTACAATATCAACTAAGTCCGAATATAATTGCTGATTGATGAGATTTCCGCTGATTTAATCGCCTTTTTAGGAACTTTGTATATTGAATTATGCATATTGACAAAAAGTCAACGTGAGCCATGTGCTTCCTTTCCTTCCTTCACGATACCTATGACCAAGCAAATAATGGCCAAAATGCTAAACAGACTCGACAACTTATGCATGAGCAAAGCACCATAACCGCAGGAGCTCTCATCTGTTTGTAATTTGATTCGGTATTGTGGGTCAAAATTTACGAAAACTGGCTCGTTTGTGAGAGTGGCAATAATTTTCTCTCGAACTTTTTATAGCTTTGCATTCCACACAAGTTCAGTGAGTAAGAGAATTTAGAGGATCCATTATCTGAGAAAACCTAGGTACAAATTTCCGGAAATTCGAAGCCAAACCAAAGAATTGTCTCACAGCAGTAATAGATTGCGGCGGAGGCAAAAAGCTAGTGCAACTATTTTACGCGGATTTGACCTTAGTTCTCCCACTCGTATTTCATATCCCATATACTGTACAACAGTAACCCAGACGGCGCGTTTTTGAGATTAAAAAGCATTGTCTGAAATTCATATTGCCCTTCAGGTGTTACAACCATCTCGCTTCAATCTCGATGAACAAAAGAACCCAGTCAATTCTTAAAGTGACGGCACTGATTTCAATAAAGGCACGTCACTGTCTTTATTAATTCGGAAGTTTAAACGCCCGTGTTCAAAATGGCTCCTATAAATGAATAATTTGGAAATTTTTCACAAAATCCGACGATGCAAATTTAGTAAAATGCACTCTTTGTGCGAAAAAGCTCAAGTATTCAAATAGCACAATCAATTTGATTCTACATATAAAGTTTAAGCACAAAAAAGATGTTACTGAATTTGAGACTATTGAACATTTATTTTTAGGAGCGGCTTCAACTATACTCGACATACGGTTTAAAAAAATACATTTTGCAGATCCTTAAGCTGTTGCCTCAACAATGAGATTTTTGAGAAATGAAATGGGGGATGCAGACGAAACTGAAAGTGGAAGTGAGACATCAAAGAAATCTTTGGAAAATAATTTTGACTTAATGGCTCTTCATAAATATTCATACTTATTCATAGCAAAAGGCGGAGGCAGAATAACGATTCATTTTTTCAGCTTTTATTCAAATTGCCAAGTTTTAGATCTGAAACGAAACACTTCAAAATCATGGGAAGAAATAGAGATTATTTATTCTAAACTTTACCTTATCCCGCGAATCGTCTATTTTCTAGAGCTGGAGCAATAGCTTCGGAAAACCCAAGCAGCTTAACAACCAAAAATCTTTCAAAACTACTGTTTTTGCAGTTGTACTTGAAAATTATTGCAAGTGAAATATGTAATATATGCGGTTATAATCAATACAAAAATTTTAAATGAACTTAGTTCATTATTTTAACATCAAAAAAAGATATAATAAAAAGGCATTAATCGATTAATATCTTGCAATTGAAATTGAAATTAATTTTTTGTTCATACAATTAATCATTTGATTGATACATTAATCGAGGAATACCTTTTTTTTGCCATCCCTAGCGGTTAAATTAAGGCAACGTGACAGCCATCGTAAAGGGGCCATGGTGACAGCAGTATTTTGTTTATATGCACGTGCGTAGCCTGCATAGTTTTTGCTAACTCAATTAAATTTCGATTTTGCATCTCGAAGATTACACGCCACTGTCGTTTCGAAAACGTGGGAGTTGATACAGATCCCACTTCTAATGACGGGTTCACTTTTAAAATACAGTCATCCATCTTGACATTGAGACGTCACACTCAAAGTGGCATCCTTTAACGAACTCCTGAGTGGGACGCTGTGTTCACCGTAATTGAACTAGAGAACTTAGAAGAATGAGAAGGTGCAGGATCGACAGCGAACATTTGTAAAATTTTATCGGGGAGTTCACCTCACACGAAGGGGAAACAAATAACATTTCTCGCTTTTATAACAGCGGTGAATCTGTACACATACGTTCTCTTAACATAACCAAACGGCGAATATTAAAGAGAATATAATATGTATGCCAAACTGGGAATATTGATATGCAATTTGAAATATATTCCCTTTTATTGAACTATTATTTATTATTTTATGTTAATTAATTTTTACTTTATTATAAGGAATATATCAAATTACTTTTAAATTATTACTAATAAAGTATTTTGATATATTTATTAAAATAATAATTGTACTTGACACTATTGTGAAGTCATAAAAGTACAGAATTGTGTGTTGCCGTCGGCATTTTCATATCATTTGTACATGTAAAGAAATATGAAAGAAAAATATTTGTAAATTTTGTCTGCAAACAACATATGTATGTAGATATGTACACTCATTACTTCATGTGAAATCTCTGTTGACACGGTCAACCAATGATCGAAGCTCACGTTTTTTGCTTTTATGTCAAAGAGTCCATCTGTCGAAGGACTGACGAGACCACAAAGCGTTACAACATTGTGTTGTTGGTAGAAAATTCGAGATATGCCGAAAAATAAACGAACGCTCGCCGATTGTCACCGTCCCTTGCCGCTCTAATAGCTTTGCCTACAAATCATCGTAAATATGTATGTTTATATATGAACATGCATACATATTGACGAAGATTTTTGAGAGCTCGGAAAAATATTTTAGAATTGTGAAATATTTAAAATCGACAAAAGCTGTGTTGCCACTTTTGTCACTTTTTTTTGTGTTTTGTGGGTTTGCCGGGTTGTTACTTTTCCCTTCTAGAGGGAACATCAGAAAGTTGTCCAATTTATGATTTCAAGCTTTTACCATGGTCGCGAAAAACGCATGCTCGGGGAGATGTGTAAGGCGTTTGCTTTCAGGAACGAAACGACTTAGCTTATTGCATGTGCGCCAGCGCTCATGAATGAAAATGTTGTTGTTGTGTGATTTACTACAAATTAAGGACTTGTCGATTTGGCTGTCATATTGATTTCTGACGCTGCGCATGCTATTTGAGACAGTTCTTGTTTTTGTATAACAATGTTTGTATTTTTCCTATTGGCTGACATATATATGTAGATTTGCGTACGCATTACTTATTTTGCAATGTCATACGCATATTTGTGCATACATACTTACATATATAACAGTGCGCGCACATGTATGTATTGATATGTGATAATATATTATTACAAGTATATTATATAACATATTGATGTACATATGTACATACATAAATTATTAATTCTGTAATAATTGAAATTAGAAAATTATTAAAAAAGTAAAATATATTATTTTTTGCATAATCTTTCGCATATTATTATGCCTCATTTGAGCAAAAAAAAAAATTTTATTAATTTTTATCATAAAAATCGTTTATATGACAAAAAATAATCATGCATATGTGAAGTGGAATTTTTTGTTTAAAGTATTTCATTTTTTCTTTATGTTGGGAGATACGTATTTCTGCTAGAGAACGTTGTTATAAATTCTTATTTCTGTTAAATAACAGCAAATACTACAGGAATGGTGAACTCCCTGATCTCAATTTTTCAGCTCTGTTAGCCGTCCAATTGAGCATCATACAAAATTCAATTTGCACCTTCTCGTTCTTTACACATTTTCAAGGGCTAACATCTAACGCTTGTTCGCTTCGTTTATTGACGTTGCTGGACCACGATCATGGGGCAAGTTCTCCAGCGATGTACGGCCGTCCTTGAACGACTTATACCAATCAAAAATACGTGCACGTGATAGGCAAGACTCCCCATATGCCTTCTGCAACATTTTTATTGCGTCCGTCGCACTTATTCCATTGGAATAACAAAATTTCAAACAAACACTTTTTGCTCATCGTTAATTTCCATAGTAAACTTCGAAAAACACACTCGAGGTTGACTTGTTTATAATGCCGTAAAAAAAAAACTATGTGACAGATCGCGCACAAATTTGACATGCAAACATATAACAGTCCTGCCAACCTTAGCAAAAAAAAGTATGACCATATGTCATGTCCTTGTCGAGTTATGGATAAAGTCTCGTTTTGCGTTAAGCAGAAGGTATAAGGGCTGCCGGCTTGTGCAGCAGGGACAGTTCTAATTAGAGTGTTACCGTGTAAAAAGCAATTAAGCTATAAGAAATAAGTTGTAAACTCGAGCATAAGTGTTAAGTTGTTGGAAATTAAAAAAAAGGTAAGTGTATAGCCATTAAATTGGGACTTTAATTTAACAATCTATTGATCGAACTCAAGAGTGAGTTACAGGTTATCGAGAAATTTATTATAATTTACGATTTATCGAGAAATCCGTTTCAATATTTACATACAAGTGTGTATGACTATCATATAAGAAAGCTAGCACGTTGGCTAAAGTTCTCCATTAGTAGTAAACCCACATACGAAAGCAATTTTTTAGCTTCATTAATATTGTTTGTAACATAGCAAAGTATTATCGTAAATTTTTATTTATTTTATGAAATTTAGCACGTTGTCTAAAGTTCTCAATTAGTAGTAAATCCACATAGCAAAGCTATTTTCTTGGTTCATTAATATCACTGTTCTACAGCATTTTTGTTGCCGTGGATATAAGATCGCTTTCGGATATATTTGTACCCACAATTTATGAAATTATCAATGATTTTGTAAGATTTGCTCTCGTTTATTTTAAAATCCTTATTTTCATTTTACATTACAAAACCCAGAAATCATGAAAAAATAACTGATTTTGAAAAAATAAGAGTACATCAAAGTAAACAGAGAGAAAATAGTCGAAAGCACTCTAATAAAACGCCTTTTATGAGTTTTTCTTTTATAATTTTTCAGTTGACAATTTCTTTTCAAGGACCAACAGTAAGCTGTCATCATATCACGATCCCATCGGTCTTTAAACCTTTAATCCATCACTTTTAGATCGTTGTTGAACCGACCTCTCTGTGTTTCTCTCTATAATTTCCAAAATTATCCGAACATTTATCCAGATTATTGTGGAGATAGTCTAACTTGATACTCAAATTTGCTCCTATATTCTGACAATTGTCAGCATATTTTACGCAATTTCTTCATAATTTGGTATTTTATGGTAACCTAGAAAATTTTCGACTCCCAACATAAAACTTTTACAAGATTCACTTTCTAGAATAGTCATAACTTTACAAAAATCTGTATCTTTCGTTAGTTGCTGTATTTAAGGATCATCAAGTATTCCACCTCTTAATTTTTATTTACTAAGCTTTGGAAATTTTCTATAAATATAATTAAAACCACGTCCAACGGTTTCACAATTTGTTTTATCCTAACTTGATCACGTACTAAAACACTGAGTTCATTTTGAGAACTTGGCGTAGATGTTTACATCCCTCCCTGTCACTTCCCCTGATAGATTATACCGATTTCTCCGAATTTGGCGACATCTCCTATAATTGGTCAAATATAAAAAATGCTGTAATTACAAACACAAGAGCACATTCAATACTTTCTTGAATAAATTCGTTATCTCTTGACACTTGAAACCATCGAAATTTGCATAATTATCCAGGTCAACAAGAAAAGATATGTTTTTTGTCGAGCTGTGTATTGTTTGTAACATAACATTACTACTGGCATCACTTCAAGCTCTTAAGCTGTAATTTTTTAGCTGTGTACATTTGTTTTAAAAAATTCTTAAAGTTTAATTGATTTTTATTACGGTGTTAATACAAATTTTTAGTGATTAAACTCTCAATTTCATGATAAGTATTAAATGTTCTGTTTTGTGCGGAAAACCCAGCAGAGTAAGTTTATGTATGAGAATCGAGAGATTTACTAATGGGCAGAATCTTTTGAAGAAAATGCACATATAGTGGACTAGTCGGAAATTCATAAATTTTTTTTGCAAAACAGCTTCTCAGAGGAACAGCTAGGGCTTTCATTCAAAGCAAAACCGGTACGTGTTTGGACATCTTGAAAACATCTTTAATTGATGAACTCGGTAAGAAATCGTCAAAAGAAACAAATCGAAACTTATATTGAATTTTTATATGCCTTAATGGAAATAAGGAAGCGGGTAACACTGGAAGAAGCTAGTGTAATATAATTCTTCATACTAGGGATACCCGATTCAAAAGTACACAAAACGGTTTTGTACCAAGCAAGGAGTATAATGGAATTAAAAGAGGAAATAAAAATTTATGAAAGAGTTAGATATAGATAAATAATCGAAGTTGTGAAAGGAGTCAATATCAGAGAAGAGGGGAAGGAAAATATCAAACGGGCATGATGTGGCAACACGTCAAGCTCTTAAGCTTAATTTTTTAGCTAAGTACATTTCTGTTTTTATTTTAAAAAATTCTTGAAGTTTAACTGATTTTTATTACCGTGTTAATACAAATTTTTAGTGATTAAAATCTCAGTTTCATGATAAGTATTAAATGTTCTGTTTTGTGCGGTATTAAAAAGTATTAAAAAGTTTAAACTTTCCAATTTTTGGTGCCGAGTCAGCCTTTCTTTCATTTTGTTTTATTTTATTATATTTTCTCACTTTGTTTATCTTATTTACTTCTTTATTCACAGCTGTGTTGCGTTTAGCTTTTTATTTGTTGCAGTGCTTCTAAAACTGCTCGCTATATTGCTTCTTCAAATTGTCTTGGTTTTAAACTTTGATAAAAAAAATTGTTCTTAATTGAATTAATTATTATTAATATTTTATTAACACACTAATTTATTATTTATCTATTAAACTTTGTTCTACCTACTCTTTTATTTGATCTTCATTCTGGTGGTTTATTATGTCTCGTAACTTCCCCAATTGTAACATTAAAGGCGAGTCAGATCGCTACGTTTCATGCTGGCTTTGTGATGGGCTTGCCCATATTAAATGTGCTGGACTGACTGGTAGAATCTTAGATTCTATTATCGACTGTAAGGGATTGCGTTGGTCCTGTTTAAATTGTAGATCTATTGAAATCGATCTATTTAAAGTTTATAGGGAGACACGCAATGGCTTTAACGAAATCGGTCGTGATCTT